AAGAAAAGACATTGATGTATTTACTAAAACAAAATAAGATCACACGATTCATGTTTTATTTAAAAAAAAAGAAAAAGTTACACAGAAGTGTATTGCTATCGCTTTACTTTAACTGTACTTTACTTCAAGAAAATCAGCTTTCAAAAAAATTTGTCGCTTTATTAATTTAGTTAAACAAACACTGGTCGTATGAGGCTGCTTTAACAATGCAGGCAAGCTATGTATTCAACCGATTTTGCGTTATGCGCTTTGCGTGGCGGTCCATCACGACATTGTGTTTTCCCCTTAATACGACGATTATCTAAATCTCTATTCCGATATAGGTACACAAGTTAATTTTAACCAGACGTTAATTACCTAAGAGGAACATTTAGGTTAATTTGATGAACGCAATAGTATGTGCGTAGATGCGTAAATGTACTGAATACCATTTTTTACGTAAAATCAAAGAAAGGGGAGTATATTAATTTTATCAAAATATATACCACGCCCAGGAAGAAGCTGCAGCGACCCCACAAAGTATATATATTCTTAATCAGCGTCAATTTTTACATGGATTTAAGCATGCCCGGCTTTCCGTTTGTCTCTCTCTCTCCATTAGATATACAAAAAAATTCGGTAAAGCGCTGTGTTTAGAAATGTGTCTGCAGCTGTTGACTGTTACCAGATTTACAAAGGAGGAGGACGATGATTTTCGTGTTATTAAACCATTTCGTGCTTTGCGTCTGGAAGTTATGAAATTCGTAGGGATAATTGAAACATGTAGTATTACTACGTACAAAAGTCCGCTGGAAAAATTCTGTGAACATGTTCTGAAGATGTCGTGCAGCAGACCGGTCAGCCGACTTGACATCGTCGAGACATCAAGTAGGTGGGAAATCCTTCATTTTTTTTTTAGAATTAATAAAGTCGTAACTTTATAAACACATCAAGCTTAAGATAGTGCCTTGTTAAATCTTTTACTTCAGAGACATTAATCTAAAAAATCTCCACTGAAGTCAGTATGCGATCAAATTATAAACAAAAAGGCTAACTTTGTGATCAAACTATTTGTCGATCGAGGCCGGAAAAATATAGTTTTGAGAACGTGAATGAATTGATATGAGTCATTTAGGACAATAGATGGCATTTGACTTAAATTTTTATATAGAAGATCATTATCTGAAAGTACAGTAACGATGTTTGCAATATCCCTTTTCATGTTTTTAAGCTTTTCAAAGTTACATCCGTACCGCGGTAAAATTTGATTATATTGAGTCTTTCCAAAAAGGAAAATTTCATACTATTAACGTTAACAAAAAAAGGCAAGGAAAACGACGAAATAAAAAAAAAATTAATTTAAAATATTTCAATTTAAGGAACATATTTTCTCTTATTAGACCAAAAAACACAATGCCGATATGTGTGATAACGGATTTTCATTACTTAACAGCCTTGCTTTGTAACAAAATGCACAATAGAGAGTCTCGTTGTGACTATTACTGAAATTTGGTACGAAGTCGCAAAAAACTATGAGAAAAAAACACGTTGTTGGTTCACACTTCACTCTACTACATTGGCAAGCCACGAATCGTCCTGTAAAAAAAACTACCTAAGCCCTCTGTTATTGGATTAAGGTCTTTAGAAGTTTGGATCTAGAGAGCCGTAAGTCATCCAGTTGTAACCAATATCCCTGCGTGACTACTGCTCGGACTAGCTTAAAACACCACTATCTCAAATACGCAAAACAGAAAACTAATACCCACCGAGCGGGTGAGTGATTTTACCGGAAGCTATGCAAATGCCACAGTGCTACCATATCGTCCTACACTTACTTCAAAGAAGGGACGTCTCAAAGTGATTTTACAAGCAAGTCTCTATAAAAACTCTACCTGTTCTAATATTTGCAATTCCCTACGCAAGATGGCTGTGTCGTACAATTTATGTCTGGCCCAGATTTTGAGGGCGGACCAATCTTTTCGGTAACTCGTAAGTGGCAATAACTTCTGGGTATGCTTGTCTCTCTTCGTGCTATCTTTTGGTAAAGTAGGCCATCACTAGGACTGCCAAAGATAGACATAACGACGTCTGCGGGAACTGTCTTATCCCTTCTTTATCACAGTGATACTGCGAACTGTCTTAAAAGTTTAGAAGAACTGGTTCAGACTGCCGTAAGAGACGTCACCAAATTTTATTTAACTTTTCAAGTGAGCACTGTAATGTACCTCGCAGCATATCCCTGATGAGCTAATTCGCGGTTAAGATGGCACCGTCTTTTCAGCCTCCCTATGAAAATAGGGTGCTTCTGATATCCTTACTGTCACTTGACATACGTAGATTTGTGATTGGGATTTGTGGGTGGGATAAGCTTTAATGTCCCTAATCGATTCTCGAGGCGCTTTATTTTCATTAAGCCTGGTTAATGTAAATGTAATTATAAGCTGCTTAATCCGTTCAAGGTTGTTTGCAGGAACCTAAATGATGTCCACCACTTAACCTCAATATCGGGCCCTTTAAAGTCTATCAAATTAACTTGCAATCTTAACATCTTACCTCGATTCGGAACTTAACTGGTGTTGTTTGCTGTTATCGGTTGCCAAGCTTTCGCATATTTGCAATGGTTTAGAGGTTCACTTACAACTTGGATCTGTCCCTCTGTGCTAGTTATGTACATGCTTTTTTCCTTCTTTTTTCTTCTTTATTTATATATGAATTATAATTTGATCTTTTTTTATTTTCCCTTTCGCTCTCCTTATAAACTTTATACTAATTTTTAATAATAATTAGAATAAGATTTACTTCTAAGCGTCAATTGAATTCAGCTATTAATATATTTTAGCTGAGTTTCATGTGTAGGTAAATAAGTAAATATACAAACTTTATTACAAAAAGAGTTACTAACTCTGATCTACATCATAAAGGGTAAATTTGAATTTTAAATTGCTTAAAGTGTAAAGTGACCACCAAATCTCAGGTGTTTGCATAGTCTCGTTCGCAAACATACCAGCACCTATTGCCAATGAAAGAACAAGTGATATAACAAAGGTAATATACTCTCTATGGGAAAGGTCTAACAAAAAAAAATTTTTTTTTTCTTTTTCTTCTGCTAGTATTTATGTTATGTATAAGCATATCAGAGTATTTACTGTGGAATTTCGTAAACATTTCCATAAGCAAATAAAGCTTCCATTTCTGTAACGCGTACCTACACACTGTGTACAATAAATGCTAAACCGCTTTCATTACCTATAGAGAAGTCGTACAAATGATAACGATGATGTTACCGTGTATGGCGTTTTTTTTTTTTTTTTTTTAAGAGAGAATAAAATGTGATTAATATAACAGTAAATGAAGAGAAAAAACCGTTTCATTTAAGTTATATGAAAAAAGAAAGGAAAACATATCGAGTTTTTCACGAATTTGTGATGATTTGATAAAGCGAGCGACAAAAATTGAAAATGTAACGTTTCTTAGCATATAATCAAGCGTCATTTAACAATCTCTTTAATCGAATTTTCATGTATCTAATTAACAAAACTTGAACTGATGAATGACTGTTGTCCTGTGTTTAGTCTTCCATTAACCTTAAAAAGTACCTGTGTGTTTCTGTAAGTGTATGACTTAAGTTTTCTATAATCATGAGTCCAAATGATTATTCTAAACAAGGTTAACGTAACAACGCAAAGTAAATTTATTTGGATGGAGATCAACAGACAACACCAAGTAAAATCACTTTATCAAAATGTAAATAATATGAAAAATAAGTTTATGATAAAGGGAAGGTGCGATGGTGATATTAAATTCACTCAGTTATTCTCATTTGTTCGTTCATCTTTGCAGTGGGCACCCATAAAAGTTAACCAGACAATAGAGTTTAGTTACACCTAATATACTCACTCACCGACATTGTTAACGCGGCTGGCAGCTAACGTTGAAATTTACTGAAGAAAAATTGTGAAAAACCAAAAGTAAAATAGAACAACTTTTATAAAAAAATATATAAAAAACAAAGAAAAAATTAAAAACAACTTCTTGATTATCGTTATTATTATGAAGAACTAAAATCTGGTGTTTTAAATCGTATTAAAGTTAAAGTGTTACAGAGCTAAAACATTTTTTTTAAAGAAAATTAAAGAAAAAAAAAAAAAAAAAAAAAGAAAACTCCAACAGGAAGCATAAAAAAAAATTTAAAAAATTCAATTACGCGATAGAAGACAGAAATTTAAATATATATAAGTATTCTATATGTATGCGTACAAAGGGTGTGAATATCGAGAATAAAATTTAGATTTTCTTTTTTGTCGTCACCATGGGTCAAGAGGATCAAGAAGTTTTAATTCGTGCCAGTAAGCGGACAACAACATCAACGGAAAGTTTAAATGCACCCGTAAGTATAATGCAGCGCTGTGCCCGAAACAATGCCCTGACATATACAACATACAAGTTAAATAACAATAAAACCCCGAATATATACCAATGTATGCATGCAGGCAACCTCAAACTCTTCTTGCTTCTCGGAGCATACAAGCGTGTATGTAGGAACATGCCATTCAAAAAACCAAAATTTAACCAATACAAAGAATGCATTTTTATCCTGGTGTGCGGAATATTTTAAAAAAACATAAGAATTACAAAAAGACAAAAAGAAGAAACCAAAGGATAATACAATAGTTATTCATTCTGATTGCAAAAGCAATAACAACAAACCGCATACATGCATACAACAGAGCTATTTCACATACCGTACCCAGCCATCACATGTTGAAACAGCAACTCACTTACAATGTATGCACGAACGTATAAACAAAAATTCGTGTACGTGTGCTTGTTCGAATCTTTTCGTGTGAGTGCGAATTTTTCCCTTTTTTTTGGTTTTTTCCCCCTCTTTTTTTTTTTTTTTTTTTTTTTTCTTGCTTTGTTTTTTATAAAACGAATATATATACATACAATGAAATCGACATTGTTGTAGTTGTTTTTGCAGTTAGTGTTTGAGGGACACAAAGAAACAAGTTGAGCAAAGCAAATACACAGTCGCTCCACAGCACACAATGGTAGGCAAACGGCTAAAACGAGGTTACTTTGCGGTCGTTAAATGATGCTTTGTAGCGAATTTTTTACATTGTTTTCTCAGATCGAATACAATCTAACACAAATCCACATAAAACTAAATAACAACATAAGAGCAAAAACACGTCTACAATACGCATATATATATATATATACATACATACATACATCCATACATATACACATATACCTCTGATCCTATAGTCATTTAAAGATAGGACTGTAAAAATACAATTGTTGAGGGAAAATAATGTAATAGAAGCAAAATCTTTTGAAAAAAGGAAAAGAAGAGAAAGAAAAAATCAAAAGCTTTTTTTTTTTTTACATCTACTGTTTTTTGTTTTCTAGCCTCACTTTATTTATAATTAAAAAACATTGAAACCACGGAAGAATGAAAGTATCATCTAAGCGAAAAGAAAAGGAACCAACCGAGATCTCTTGATAAACTTGAACTAAGACAAAATTATCCGCATTTTTGTCCATTCGTCGTTTGATGTAGTTGTGAGGTTTCAATCAGCTGATTATGGAACGGCAGAAACTTCAAAAGTATTTCTAAGCGAACGACATTTTTGATTACGATTCGCGTTCAGTCACGGAAACTTTACGCATATCATACTGACTATTCGACGTCCATTGGAATCGTACGAAAAGCAAAAAGATTTATAATAATTTCTTGTAAAGGCAAAAAGGAATATACATACACACATCATAATATAGTCATGTCACGCAGATGTATAATTGCAAAGAGTAAGGAGGCTACATGAAAAAATGCTCGCATCACGTCGTCAATTATGATCCCTTGCCAAGAACTAAATATCTCTTTGAAAGCGACGCGAAAATCAAATTGATGAATGTACAGTTTGGTGAAGGCCGCGTTATAAACTCTGAGCCATGAGGCTTGATATAACTGCAGAGAAATGAGACAAGAGAATTAGATAGAGAGAGTGTGCCTTCACCGACTGAACACTTACTACGGCTGCGATCAAAGTAAACTCTACCACATGGGGATTAGAAACCGCGAACATTGAATTGGTAGTAGCGGTTCTTACCTGTTCGGCTACTTATGCGGATTACTTTACATTAAAATTTTGTCTAATTTTTATATCCACACTAGCTACATCAAGCCATATGTTTGATCAATCTAAAATATGTGAGAACATTATGTGACAATCATCTCATCGTAAATGCCATTAATGAGTCTTTGACAAATATCGCTCGAATTTGTTTTTGTGGTGCTTAATACCACATAACTGATCACTTCTCATGCATGGTCATTCTTTTTCCTGATAAAAAACATTGACATTAACAGAGAGATAGCTTTTAGTGTTTTGAACTATGCAAATCTCTCTCACTTGTGACAGCCATTTTCTTTCCCGTTGTTCTCGTGCAGCTATTGTTCACTTTCGATAAGGTTGGGATAGCTCTCTTTATAAAATGCTTTTCTTCCTTTCTTTTAGCTGCGGTAGTTTTCTTCAATACGTGATCAAAATAAAGGTCTTTTTCCATTATTCGGTTAATGATCATAAGTACTGTGTTCTCACTCTATTATTTTGTCTTGTATATGGTTGACGATTTGGTACAGGTTGCTGTTAGTGTGAGACATTGAAAGAAACTCATTGATGAGAAATGTACGATTAATGCGAGTGATCAGCCTACATTTAACAAAAGGTTCGGAGAATATTTATTTGTTTAAAATGAAAACTCGTGAATATTCGCAAATATGAGCAAACGGATGGAAACTCATCGGTTTATCTACCCTAGAAAAACGGCGCGAAATGTTGAGTATAAGCTTCTTATTTAAGCTAACAAAGGGCTGATGTGCTTTATTACAGCATATAAACCCCAGCGTCTTAAGATATTATTGAGACTGCATGTGTTATATAGATACATGCATATAAGTTATTTATAATTAAATTACCTTTCAGTTTTACATTCGGCTAATGGTGTAACCTGTACCTGAATTCGGTTTTTTCTGTACTTTTCAAGCTGCTCTCAATTTTTAAGCTATTGCGAGCGCATAAGTTCATAGATCGTAACCACTTCCTATTCCCGATTTTCATTTTGGCGACTATGGCAATTAGATAAAAGAAAGGGGATCAGGATGATCTCTTCTGCTAGAAATGCTAATTATACGCAACACGTCGACAGTTTTAGTGTTAACATCAATTGCCAAAAAATATGCGTTCGAATATACACGGTGAGAAAACAGAAGGTGGTTATAACAAACTCAAGATAGACAAAAGAGTTCAATTATTTTTAATAAAGACTCAATTAAATGCACGGTCAACTAACTCGTCATACATCTACACATATATGGTCAATTTAAAGGCAAAACGTGATAGCTCCCCTTTGGGTATATGCTTTTAACAATTATCAACGGCGTTTCCCATGTACACTATTTTTATTATTCGCCTTTTTCTATTATTTCGTCGCCTTCATTTTGTTTCCTGTTGTACTTTCGTGTGCGCATGTTGTCAACGCTGCCTAAACTTTGCGCCATTAACGCTAGAGCTACAAACATTTGACATGAGTCTTGTTTCTGCCGTGGTAGATCATTTTCTTCTATAAGAATGAAGATAGGAAGCTGACCTTTAGCACAAGCATTCCTTCATCAATTAAAAGCTCGCGATAGATTAGGAACCGAGACAATCCCGAGAACACGGACAATTTTTTCATATTTTTTGTCTTTTTTGATTTACGATTCCGTTTGGTAAAATGTTTCTTTCAATTGGATGCTCGAAATGCTAACGTGCGTCGGGATAGAATTAGAGATAAATTGAAAATAAATTCGATAAATAGCTTAATCGGCCATTCTAGCCATATTGATAAGCCGATCGGGATCATTTTTGAAAGTGTTCTGATAAAAATATGGGCTCGGCACTTTTTCTTTCGAGATCGCAAGTTGTAGGCGAAAATATTCTAACGTGAATCTCTATTTTTTGGGATCCTACGTTACTTATCCAACTCCTTTTGATGTCAATTTTTTGACAGTGAATTGCGATTTTTTAGGACAATGTTAGATCTACTTACAAAATTGGGAAATCTATTCAGAAATCGCTTACAGGAATTTAAATGTGCAACGCTTTAATTCGCTTTGCCTTTTACAAGCAAGTTATCGTTACCTAAACTCATCGCGACATATTTGTGTTAATCCCTTTTTCCACTAAATTTCTGCTAATTCTTGTCGATCTGTCCGCGAGTCGCCAGCTGCGTGAGACAGGTAAAGCGGGAAGATTGTGCCTTGTGGCTTTTTCTTTCTTTGAAATTTTAATTCTTAGTTAGAAAGCCGATTAGTTTTCCTAAAGACTTAAATCATAACATGTGGGATTTTCGAGAGAATATAAAAAAAAATGTCGGCGTTTTTCGAGGTTATTTGAGTCTCTTCTATATTGTGGCCCATCTTTTATCTTCGAGTTCTCGATTAATAAAGTAATACTTCTGCCAAATTTCAGCTTCCTATCTGCACTCTTGCGACTATAGTCGTTCCTAAAAAACGATCGATCCAAATGACCGATAACTTAGCACGATATTTGAAGCACTTTTCATACCAAGAAAAGTTGTCAAAAATGACTGTAACTTTACATGCTCTGTAGCTTTTTTTTTTAAGTTTAAAAATTCAATAACATCATATTAACCCCCGCGGTAGTTCTAGTGTTAAAGTAATTTCCATTCAACTTTGAATATAAAGAAACCAACGACTATAAAATTATTGAAAATGACTTTTGCAAGTAACAAGTAAACGGTTTAAATTTACGAAAACAATAAGCTTTATGTGACGTATATGAGCGCAAGGGAATATAATGCGAAACGAAGAATTACATCGACTCGACTAGCAACGCTTGGCTTATTTAAGTGGTCTCTTGCAGATTACATTTCGAATGCTACTTCTTTCCCTTATTCCGTTCTTTCTTATATTCAATTTACTGCATATTCTGGTGTCATATACGCTTAAATGTTCATTCCTAAAAGTTCAAACTTTGCATAAAAAAGAAGTAACGTTACGCTATATATATTAAATAAATTTGAATAACGATTAAGTAAAAATTAAACGAAATTAAACGTTGAAGATTTTATAAGGTGCTTGCACATATTTTGATCATTTTTCACTGAAAAAAGGCATTTACTGCAGTGAAACCAGCCTGCATCGATCTGAACGAGCGGCAACCAGAAGGCGCTGAATGCGGCAGAAGTTTACATTCAAGCTGCAACAGTGTACTTTTGACAACTCTTGCAACATGCGGATAAGCGTTGTCATGCAAGAGGATCACTTAATCTCCGTTAAGCTCACTTGGTGATCGTGTTTGCAACAATACTTCGTTCAATTTGTTCGGTAGACAGTTGCAGTAACAGTTTCATTCGCTTTTAGTGTGCATTGAAACTTCGCATATAGAGATCACTGATCAAAATACATGCAATCACCTATTATATACAAACTCTTATCATTTTAGTCCGTAAATATTAAAGCCATGAATAAGTGAATTATATACAAAAATAATCAGAAATAGCTTGTGCAGAATGGAACGCACTGCATTTGTAAATATATTATTTTAACAGAGCGCATCAAGCTTCCTTATGAAAGTGAAGAGAAATTCGTGCAAAGTTGCCCATCCATGGGATACATGGTTCAAAGTGACCCCGATGGTTACAAATCTAAGCCAACTAAGTAGTTTTCGATAATTCTAGTACACTACCAAAATATACAGATCCTTTGCAGTCGAAATAGCTATTATGTATATATATATTAAATGTCTATAAAGAAGTCTATTAAGATGCAAGAGTATTCCAAACTTTGTTTCAGTGTTGCTTGTACACTCACTCGACTTTACTATACTTTTTTCCAATCTTCCCTCACTATAATTCCCTCACTTAATTATATTTTTTGCATATCTTGCCGACTAAAACATTTTCTTTTCCTCTCAGAATCCCGAAACTTTCGAACATGCTGGTATGCTTCCAAATTTTTCTAAAAGTTATGGTTCCACTGAGACGACCGATGATCGTTTAACTTATACCTGGTACAATTTGGATGCGTTTGGTGAAGTAAATCAGCCCGGCTCGCATTGGAAAGAGTTAAAGAACCGAATTCGTGGCGTATGTTGTAACGAACGTCATATACCGAAGCCACGTAAACATTTAATTAAGAACGGTTAGCATATAAAGTAGCTTGGACTCTTGATAAAGGAACAATGACTAATAACAGCTCTTATGAATTATAGTTTGTGGTGTAGCTTATCCGGGTGAACTTCTTGCAGTTATGGGTAGTTCTGGTGCTGGCAAAACTACCCTACTTAATGCACTCGCATTTCGATCGTCGCCAGGCGTTCAAATATCTACGTCAAGCGTGCGTTTACTGAACGGTTATCCGGTCAGTGCAAAAGAAATGCAAGCACGTTGTGCTTATGTACAACAAGATGATCTTTTCATCGGTTCTTTGACCGCCCGAGAACATCTAATATTTCAAGCTATAGTTCGTATGCCTCGTACAGTGACACAACGTCAAAAAATTCAAAGAGTCGATCAAGTTATACAGGATTTGTCATTGGGTAAATGCCAAAATACTATTATTGGTGTACCCGGTCGCATGAAAGGTCTATCGGGTGGTGAGCGAAAACGTTTGGCATTTGCCTCAGAAGCTCTTACCGATCCGCCTCTTTTGATTTGTGATGAGCCTACTTCGGGCTTAGATTCCTTTATGGCTCACAGTGTAGTGCAGGTACTAAAGAAATTATCGCAGCGTGGCAAAACTGTTATATTAACTATACATCAACCGTCGTCCGAATTGTTTGAATTATTCGATAAAATTCTCTTGATGGCCGAGGGAAGAGTTGCATTTTTGGGGACACCCAACGAAGCAGTAGATTTTTTTTCATTGTAAGCAAAAGCAAATTAAAAGTTTTAAGCAAAACTCTTACATTTTAACAACCTCAGTATTGGAGCGCAATGTCCAACAAACTATAATCCAGCGGACTTTTACGTGCAAGTGTTGGCTGTTGTGCCGGGCCGTGAGCTCGAATCACGTGACCGTATATCGAAGATATGCGATAATTTTGCGGTAGGCAAGTAAGTATATGCAAAAGCTAAATGACAGCAATAATCTAAGAGAAAAAAAATACAGAGTCGCTCGTGAAATGGAACAGAAGTTTCAAAAAATTGCCGCTAAATCGGACGGACTTTCAATGGACGATGAAAATGGTTTCATCTATAAAGCTACTTGGTTTACACAATTTCGTGCCATTTTATGGCGTTCTTGGCTGTCGGTCTTGAAGGAACCGCTACTCGTTAAAGTTCGTTTAATACAAACAACAGTAAGTGTAACGGAAATAAAAGTTGGATTTAAATCTGTACATTAACCTGTAACGTTCAGATGGTGGCAGTGCTGATTGGTTTGATTTTCTTAAATCAACCTCTGACTCAGGTAGGTGTTATGAATATTAATGGCGCCATATTTCTGTTCCTAACCAATATGACTTTTCAAAATGTGTTTGCCGTGATAAACGTAAGTGTTAATTGTTTCCTAAACTTTTTGTTAAATTTTTCGCAAAATTTGTCTAAATTTCAGGTCTTTACTTCGGAATTGCCGGTTTTTATGCGTGAGACCCGCAGTCGTTTGTATCGTTGCGATACATATTTCCTAGGAAAAACTATAGCTGAATTGCCACTTTTTTTAGCAGTGCCCTTTGTTTTCACGGCCATTGCCTATCCTTTGATAGGCTTGCGACCTGGTGTGGATCATTTCTTTAAAGCCCTCGCCGTAGTCACATTGGTTGCTAATGTTTCTACTTCTTTTGGTTATTTGATATCTTGCGCCAGCAATTCGACATCTATGGCGTTATCAGTTGGCCCACCGGTTACAATTCCATTTTTACTTTTTGGAGGCTTCTTCTTAAACTCGGGTTCCGTACCCATATACTTTAAATGGCTTTCGTACTTTTCTTGGTTTCGTTATGCTAACGAAGGTCTTTTAATTAATCAGTGGGCTGATGTGCAACCTGGTGAAATTACCTGCACTTTATCGAATACCACTTGCCCAAGTTCCGGTAAAGTTATTTTGGAAACGTTAAATTTTTCAGAAACGAATTTACCTTACGATTACATGGGCTTACTACTGCTCATAATTTTATTCAGAACTTGCGCCTATATAGCCTTAAGATTTAGGGCCAAACGCAAATAGTAAACAATTAAATGCGAAAAGTTACAATAAATAAAAAAAATCTTCTTAGAAAATGTTCTGTCAAGCTTTTATTTATAAGCATTTATCAACATACATTGGTAAGTACAACTGCGGTGAACTTTTTCGCTAAACTCGAGATCAATGTCGAAAAACTGAGTTGTTTAACAGCTTGTAAGATGTAAGCTTGCCGGATGACAGTACCCTCCCACAAAATACTTTATAGTCGCATGACCGAACCGAATTAATTTCACATTGCATGCTCTCTCCACCTTAAGCTTTGCTTTAACTTTATGTCAAATTACGTAAATACATTGAAGAAAATTATCGTACTTTTGATTCCAATTAGATTCTTTTACAATAGGAACCTTAATAGATTTATTGCGGGCTGATTTAAATTTCTTGGCTTAAACATATATCGATAGAGGCACAAAAGGCGATAAGACAATTGAGATAATGTCATACTAACTAGGGGTTTTGTCTGTCCTAATTGATGCAATACAGGCTATTTACCCGCCAAAGAGGAGAAAACTCAGAGGGTGCCTCCCTAAGCCATGACAACATTAGACCGGAATTCGCCCTTTTTGACTTCCATTAAAGGTCGCCGTTGCTGGTTAGTTGCTGTCTGCCTAACTCTAAGTTACAGCTATCTACTGCTACTTATTGTAGCTTATATCTAACCTAAATCTAATCCCTACTCAAAGTAAAGGCAAAGCGAAGGTTCGACTTTGTCTCATCACAAACTTTAATTTTACATTTGTAGCTAGCTTGGACGCTTTTGAGAACGAACAATACTCAGGGTTAATTTGATCTATGACATTTTCGCAAAAATGTAATTTGTGACGGTTTGCACCTTTAAGTAATCTTATGTGATCGTAGTAGTAGGCTGAGGGCAGCGACTTTCAGACGGACGATTTGAACTCTGAAAATTCTCCCGACTTCCAAGAAGATTTCAAGATGATGCAAGTTGCACGCGAACTTTTGGCATTTACTGTTTTCCTTTTCCTTGAAATAAAACGCACACACCCATATATACACATACACACGCCCATCAATAGCAATAACAAAAAGTCGATATGAGTTCGTTGCGCATGAACATGTTCCAGAGTGCTTCGTTTTTCGCTGTTGGCTGTACTCGGAGAGTTTATTGAAACACAAAGAAATCATGTTACTTGATGCGATCAATTGCTAAATCGTTTTCCTGTTTCATCCAAGCGCTTATGGCTCTTATTGCTTTCCCTCTCATCAAAAAAACAACGTATAGTTTCTCTTAAAAACCTATTGAATGATAAGGAAAATACGCACCTGTCAAATCTAGGGTAAACATGCTTCAATACCGGATCAACACATTGAAAAATGCTCCACACAAAATTTTAAAACAAATCTAAAAACTTAAAAAAAAAATTATTCACATATAGTGTAAGTTTATGTAAGAATATGTCATGGAAACAACAATAAAAAATTTTTTAAATATTCTTGAAGCATTTCCCTCTAAGCGCTTTAAAATATTCAAAAATTTCATAAAAATTATATATTTTTCTACAATTTTTTTAAAAAGTGAAAAACGTTCTTAATGCTTAATGATAGTCATCAAGGCTTGAGTAAAAATTTACCGTTAGCTAAACAAATATTATAAATACATCCCTGCGTTTTCGAGGTGCGTATACATACTTTCTCACCACGGACAAATGAGAATAAAAAGGAAACGATGGAGAGCACAGCTGATTTTGACAATTAGAGAAATATCTATGTATATGTATATGGGAAAGAAAAGAAAACGCATTACGGCAACTGCCGGCAGTATAAAGATAAAATTTTGTGTATTTTGAGACGGAATAAATTTGTGTTTATTGTTTTTTATTAATGATATTAAAGAGAAAATCCTCAGTAAATTTATATAATTATTTAAATAATTGATACTTCGGATAATTATTTTTTTGCTTTTTAAAAGAAACGTATGTAATATTCAATGCTTTTGTTTGTAAAAAATCGACGTCATTAACGTCGTCAACAATAAAAATACGCAACGGGAAAGGAGCAATGTGTGATGGCGCTTTTTTTTCATTTTGCTGTTTATAAATAAATATGCAATTTGAATATTCACAATTTACGCTTTTAACGACTAATCTAATCGTAGACATAAAACAATTTATGAATCGAATATGACAAAAAGCGACAAGTAAAGCTTGCAAAACGAAAAAGTTATTCACAATTGAGGTCGAACAATCTAAGTCCAAATACGTAGTTTATCATAAGTATAGATAAAGAAAGCACGATATCAGTTAGCCAAGGTGTGCAAAAACCAAAGGAAATTCAGTAGTTTACAATTTCGTTTTTGTAAAAGCTTAAAAACAATAAATGAAATTCTCCACGTGCATTAATTACCATTATCAGCTTGATTTATCGCCTTTTCAGCAGCAGTAACAATTGTTCTTTTTTTTTTTCATTTGATTTCGTATAATTTTACAGCCGGTCATCATAGCTATCTAGTGAAGTCAATTTCATATTTTATCTATACACATGCACACATATATATTGGTTTTTGTATTTTTGAACTTAAGACTAAGCTTATAAGTATTAATTTTAATTTCTCAAGTTTTAATATACAGAGAGTATACAAATTCCACGGCTTTCCGCAACGAATCATCGAATTGAAAGAACACCCAAAGGGAGTATTGTTGAATAACATAAGTAGAAAATGAATATAGACATAGATACGCTAACGAATGAATGGGATGAACTCAGCAGAGAATATTCTGAGCTCGAGGTAAGTTGAATACGTTGTTCGTTGTATAATGCAATTGATATTATGGTTCGCTTTCTATGATATAAATCTAAAAATGATGCGTAAACACAACGAGCTTATGACTCAAGTAAAAATAATAGCTATTTAAACTAGATTCATAGGTAAATTTTGTGTAAACAATTATGAATATGTTAGATTTGAAAATTTCAACTGCGCATACATGTACATATATATATAAATTCAATTTTAATTTAACCAGCTGAAGAGTCTACACAATAGTGGTGCGAACTTTACAAGCTCAATTAAATATATATATCCGGACTTGGCCAGAGTGTAAGGCTTTGATTTACGTATCAGACAATATTCCTAGCAGTAAAAAAAAAATCTCAAAGGCAAGGCATATCCCATTTAAGGAGCTTAGCGACTCATTTCTTTTTTCTTGCAAATTTCAATATAAATAAAAAAAAAAAACAAATAAGAAAGTAATATTAAGCTGTGATCGAATTTTGTATATCTACCACATTTATATTAAAATAGAATATGCAGATATTTATCGGTGCAGTTTATGAGTAATGAAAAAAAAGCAAATAAAAGAAACGTGCTTTCAACCGATTTCGCGTTACCTCGTGCTCTGGGCGTGTCCCTTGACCGATTTAGTCCACTTTTAATGTCCATCTGAGTGCAAGATCTTTTAATACTCATGCCAAATTGAAAACGCAGATATTACATGTCTCTCTATTTCTTTCGTTTTTCTCTCTTCTTTATGACACCATAGGAGATATAGCCTGAGTGATTGTTCATATTAAAAAAAAGAAGCAAAAGTATATGTCACATGGGTGGGAGGAATCCTCCAAACTTTGCGTGAAAAACCTCAATCGCATACAACGATCGGCTCAGATATTTATACGCGAGGAAGGTGTGTCCAAAACTCCCCTAAGCGCCGACATAATATGGCTTGTGTTGTCCGTATGTAGAAGTGCACCCAAAGCAAGTGTCTCTACAGAGATACAAGAGATTTGTGCACCAAATAAGTCATCTAACAAGATTGTTACACGACTTACTCAGCGTCCCCATTCCATTTATTCTGAAATCACCTGTATACTGCACAACACACTGCCAGGACTCGTCGTTCTTTAGCCATACTGCCCGCCTTTTGAACAACCCACCAGCAAGGCTTTTTCCCACGCTACCTAATGTCTCGATTTTCACGAGCACTACTTTCTCTCTCTCTCTCTCTCTCTCTCTCTCTCTCTCCCCATCTTTCTTTCTTTCTCTCTCCTTCGCTCTCTCTCTTTCTTTCTTTCTCTTTCTCTCTCTTCAGCCCTCTCTTCCTTTAATCGTTCCTGATAACAAGCATATCCGCAAGTATAGGGGGCGTAAAAGAGTGAAACATGCGACTAAAAGAAAGGAAAGGAATATAAAGTAGAAGACTTAGGAAAAAATAAAATATGAAATTGAAATATGAAAGGAGACTAACTGTCGCACTTTGTACTCTTTTTTTTTAGTTTCTATTTCTGAACGGCCTTAATGAACCAATCTTGTCGCAATCGTACATTGAAAATGTCTGTGTCCCAAACGTAAACGACGTCTTCGTTTCAGCGTCGACTAGTTCTTGATATTCCATTACGTAGCATATCCTGCGTCACTCTTAACATTCGACGCAAGTCTCTCTTCATTCCTTACGAGCGGCGGAACGATCATAATTTTTACACAGTATCAATAGACAAGTTAAAGTTGAAAGTGAACTTTGAAAATAAGAAAAATATAAATGTTTGCAAAAGACTAGAAGCGTAAATAAATAGAAGACTTTGGCAAACGGAAGAGATTGCAATAAATATCTCGCTCCAGGCTTGAAGGATGTTAACAGAAGTGAAGTGGTTCTGTTAGCATAGTGTATAGAAAAAATCTTGCAATGATTGAAATTAAAAATAGTTCCCTGAGTAACATCAACATTTTGTCTAATTAACGATCTCGAGTGACCTCTCCTCCAGGTACACAATTACGAAACTAGTCCCAAATGCGTTTATCCAAGATTCGTTTCAAAATCGATAAAGCTCATGTACTTGATTAATTTCTTGCAATCTTTCGTTTTCCCCACAGGAATGCAACCGTACATATATTGAACTTTTGGAACAATTGCATTCACATCAGCAGAAATGTTTCAATGAAATCAAACATCAGCGCTATCGGATGAATCAAATCTGCGCTTCATTAAGGCAGTAAGTGAAGAAAAACTTCTTTATTTAAAAAGGGACTCGAAAAAAAAATATCTAAAAATCCATAATCCTAAGGCATTCTAGCTTAAGATTAAGAAGAAACTTTAAATCTAATACGAGCTTGAGTGATTTTATCAACATTTCATTTTAATATAGATTTAAAAATGTTCAATCACCAGACGAGAAAGAAAAAATCGCCAATTTAGAAAAGAATACAATCAAACGTAAAGCACAATTACATGAAATCGAGCAATCGTTACCAGCGAAATCGGGTCGTTATCTAAGGGTAAGAAAGAACATTTCAATTTATTACTTTGTCTGGAGCATTTTTCATTTTTATGCAAAAAATAGATCATACTGGGTGACGTGAACGTTTCGATACTCAATAGAAATGACAAAGTTCGTTATAAAGATGAATACGAAAAATTCAAATTAATTTTGAATGTTATTGGATTGTTAATGGCTTTCCTTAACCTTCTATTCAATTATAGGTAAGTAAGTTATTATAACGTAGTAAGGGGAAACGAAGGTCTAAAATTTGAAATTTTTGATTTTGATAACTTGTTTGACTAAGGGTCTTGGAACTATCTTATATATTCCTATTGGTTTGGTATTACTGTACATTAACCATACGTGAGTCAATTTTGAAAGTGAATGGTTCACGTATTAAAGGCTGGTGGCGAGCTCATCATTTCATATCAACGGTTGCGGCTGGCGTATTATTGGTATGGCCTCAAGGCGAACACTGGCAATTGTTTCGTAAACAATTTATGTATTTTAATGCTTACATAAGTAAGTATCTTAACTTGATTGCATATTTGAAACACAATTATTGAATTGAAAATAATTATTTCTTATGGGAAAGGTGTCGTACAATATCTTCAATTTGGATATCAAAAGGGTCTTCTGTATCGTTTAAAAGCTTTAGGTGAACGTCACAATATGGATATCACTATTGAAGGCTTCCACTCATGGATGTGGCGTGGCCTAAGTTTCTTGCTGCCTTTCCTATTTGTGGGTTACGCTTTTCAAGCCTACAATGCCTGGACTTTATATCATTTATCTTACGAACCGGTTGATGCCCCCTGGCACGTAAGTATAAAAACTTTCACTCAGCATACACATAGACATTCGGCAAAAAATCAACAGAGTTCCCACAAGTCAAATAAATTTCTTTAGAAATTCCCAAGCTTCCTCTTCCTTCTAATTAATCGAGTCTTACGAGGCAAGTGTAAATAAACTATTAATAGAGAACGATTTTTCAGTCGTTACTTACAAAAAATTTGAACAAATAAAAAAAGTGTATTCACTTATGACTAACACCTTTATATCCGCTGCCTTTATCCTGAAAAAGCTATATTTCCATACTCTGTAATATTGTTTAGCTGATCTTTTCAAAGTTTTGTAGAATACACATAAGAATTTTATTCTGTGTCTATTATAACTTATGAGTAAAAAGCAAAAAACCCAGAGTGCAACGGTGTTGTCCATAGTTCCTGGTGCGTGGTAGATGTGCCCCGGTTTAGCCCATTTTCAATACCAACCTGAGCCAAAGTGAGCTTGCCACAAGTTATTTGCGATCAACCAACAGCCCACGCTAAGTAGCGAACGTTTGCAATAAGTTATAATTATTGCATCGTTCCTTCCATCTATCGACTAATAACATATGACATTTTGTAGAAAAACATATATATAGAAAATATCTTGAATATTTGAAATCATATAATTATAAACTACGCATGTAATCACATGTCTGTGAGTGATTAGGTACATGCCTTGGGCCTATTTAGTTGAATTCCAATGTAGAATTTGAATTGAGTCTAAGCGCGTTACTTTAACAAAGCCTTGGACTAGTAAAATAAGAAAAAAGATAAGTGTAGGGATTTTGTGGGGAGGAACTAATTAGATGGAATTTCATGATTTCTGAATTTAACTTTTATCACTCAAAACCATCAGTTTTGAAATCGTTATTTCAACAGATGAACACCGAAATTAACAAAATGACGTTAGTTTTTGTTAACACATCAGCTATTCTTACTTATCGGCCCTAAAATTTGCAAAAGCCTTTCTAGTTGAAACCAAATTTCGGTTTTCATCACTAAAAAATTTATCATGATGCGAAGCCTTTAGGGCCCTTAGGACCTTAACTTAAACGTCTTCATTTCAGATGGTTATCTTATAGCCTAGCAATCAAACCGGAAAGTTAAAAAAGGTCTGATTTCTTAAAATTTACCATTGCAAACTTTTTCAGGTCTCTGTGATGTGCGGTCTATTCTGGGTGTTATTCATAGGAAATTTAACTACAACTTTACTGGTAGTACCCGAGAAGATACGTGAGAAAACTAAGGAACGTTATCGTTTAATCAGCATGGGCAAATCCATGAAGTTAAGAAAGATGATGAAGGTAAGTAAGTTTTGCTTTCCATACCTAGCAAAAAAAAGTGTCAATCAATTTTGCTTTCCATTTATAAAACCACGAAAAGTCATTGGAGTCATTAAAACTCTGTGTTCACTTAATTCAGGAAAGTGGAGCGAATTTTTTAGTTTAGGCTCCCAACACTTTAATAAATGAAAGTTGCTGGTCCTAAAGAGGCATTTAGTTTTTTGAGTGTAGAAGATGTACCGAATTACTATTACTGGGAACGAACCAAATGTAATGAATTGCTTTATTAAGGATCCAACTGGCCACTGGTAGTTTATTTAAAAAAATTTCCATGTTTTCACTCTTTACTTTCTTAATAGTGTAGTTGCTGCTCTCCCATTAACGATCATTAACCTGATTTGCAATCTTTTAAAAAAATTTTGATTTAATTCCTCTTTTTTATATTTATTTAGCAAAACAGCATTAGCGAAAATGATATAGATATTGCTGCAGAAAATAGCGTCGTGACCAACGTTACCAGTTCTTTGGAAGATGATGGGGAAAAGAAATGCAATTAATGATGAAATTTACTAAGCATCCAAATCATGAAAAAACTGCTGTAACTTTATATATATATATATATATATATATATATAGTGACGAAACGTAACCTACCGAAAACATTTGAAATTTCATTCTCATTACAAAAAAAAAAAAAAAAAAAAAAAAACCAGTCTATAGCGATTTATACCCCGAATGTGTATAAGTAGCTAACTGATTTCTATTTATTTATATTTTAGAAAATTCTACTGTGTTTAAAAGAAAATATAAATGAAAGCAATTTTTTATAGATAGATTATATAACATTTAACAAAACACTAAAAGCGAAAAGCATATAAAAAGAAGAAGAAGAAGAAAAGGAAAATTAAAGAGAACCGGAATTCATTGAAATCTTTTCAATTTAAATTTTAATGATAGAGCGAATGATAGTTTATTTATTTATTTATTTATTTATGCTCCCTGAACCATGTCGAGCCCGGTTAGATGGCGAATCATTGAAAATATACTAAATAAGTTCATTCCACATATGATTATGAATTGTTTAAAATCCTTAATACATTTGAATATTTCTTTTGAATTCTCAAGTATTTTGGTTTGAACTTAATGCATTTTGTTAAAGAATTAACAACAAAATCTAAGTATATAGCAAATTATTATTCAGTTTAAAAGTTAAGTTATAAACTATTTTGTATTTAGTTTACAACTGATTATCAAGGATAAAATTCTTTTTCAAATTACTTTAATATTACTAACGCAAAACTACGATGAATTAAAAAAAAAAAAAAGTTTAGTCTACATAATCCAAGTAACATGAAGTTATGAAAACAACAAAAACAAGAATATGTATGTGAAATAAAAAAATAAAAGTCTTTGAAAACAATTGCAATCTATGCAAAATGTGTTTACATATATATATATATATATATCATATATTCTCACATGGTTGTGCACATTTATGTTCTGGATATAAATCATTCTCCTCCTTAGCAGTCGTTTAAGAAAGTTTAAGCGTTATTACAATTGAAATGAATACCCAGGTATGACAGCATTTATTTTTATTTACTTTTCAAAGGTTAAAGTTCGCACTTAAGCATATGGTAACTTTTTTTCACTTTTCATTTTGAGGTGTGTCAGTCTTTCTCTCTTTTGTTTGAAAGGTTTTGCAGAGTTTTTCCCTTCATCCATCAGGTGAGTATGTTAGCTTGTGCGTAACTTAAGTGACATCCTGAAAAAGACACTGAATACGATATAACGCACAAGAGCGGCCAGTTGATCATTGCCTCTTTCTTTACACCTAACTGACGTCTCAAGCAAATAATCGACAATGAACGATGTAATAGATTTCGGAAAATTCGACCGAATATCACTTGTCTTCCAATTTTTTCACGAATAATTATTTCAAACGTAAGCACTTTTATGTAATGAAATGACAAGATAAAGTGCATTAACACGATATGATATAAATTTTGTGTAAGATGGAAAAGTTTAGTGTGGCACGCATGGACCCGCATTTTAGTTATACATCAGCAAATATTACCAAACGTTTTTATTTTCCTTTTTTCCTTAACTGTAGACATGTTAATGTTTGCTTTGATTAAATTGCAAGTTTAGCCAACTTCCAATGTGCATTTTCCGATATTGCTGGTAAGAATCGAAGGAAAGAACATTAGCGCTTAACGCTGTGCAATGATTTTTGATAACACTTGTTCATTATATATGGAACGCGATATTCCAAATAAATGTATCTGACTTTTTTATACCCATAAGTCGAAGGATGAGGCCCAACAGGAAGCTTCAGATATCCCACAAAATATACATATTTTTGATCAGCATCAAATTATTGAGCGATTTGAGCACGTCCGTTTGTCCGAAAAAACCGACTTAAAACTTGGCAGAAACATTGGAATTTCTTGCACGGAATTGCAAGTTGAAAATGGACCAAATCGGTCGAAGGGCACGCTTACACGTAAACTGACGACACCTCACATTTCCAAAAGAAATAAAAAATTGATTCTTTTGCTCATTACTCGTACACTACACAACAGATAAGTCTACAAAAATTTAAAAGTATATTGTATGAGCAATGCTGTACCTAGTACCTCTACATAAATAGAAAAAATTGCCAGGCGTACTCAATTTTGTATACCCATAAAATGTACAAATTCTTGCCCAATTTTAAATTCGGAATGCGTAGAAGCATGTTCGTCCATCAAACTGTGTAGTATCTATGGTAGACATTGTTCTATTAGCGATAATGAAGATATCGTGCACCAACTTGCAAAACATTTTGAAAATGAGCCAAAATTTTCAAAGGACACATCTATGCAACGGAATCGGAGCACCTTTGCTTTCCATGTGTCTTGCCAGTTACTCATAAGCTACAAACAGATGCACGATATAAATTTGCACAATTATTTTAGAAAATGGAAAAGCCGGTCACGCCTACCTAATATTGTAAGCTATGGAAATTTAGTTTTTTCGTTGTTTTTTCAGCCGTTCTTAAGATAACGGTGGTGAGTATAAAAGATTCGGTCGCAACCGATTATAATTACTATTAGAAACTATTTCTGCTTTTTGCCCTGAGAAACTTGGTTTACGAACTATCCTATGAAGATAGGTTATTACTTATATCCTTATCGTCAACGGAAAGACGTAGATTTAATCCACTTAGGGTGTCTTACGAAAATTCAAACCTAATCACTTTATCGTATTCCTTACGGAGTCGCGCCTTGCCGATGTCATACTTAAACAAAATGTCGCGCCGTCCGATTCGCCAAATTATTTATGTCTCGGTACACTTTCAATGTAATTTTTGTGTTCGATATGTTCACATGTTTTTTAAATCCATCATCGCCGAGACGTGGTTATAATAATTAGGATTAGCGGATTGGTTGGTTCACCTTAGGCACTGGCGACGACTATTCGACCTTACGAATAAGAAATAGTTAGCTTAACCTAACTGGTCTCCCGGAATAACTGACAAGACAATTAGAATGGGGATTTTCTTATCTTAGCTGCATACCCCGATTATTTAATCATCCGGATAGGGGATAATTGGGCTTAGCTTAGCTGCCATCGCTGAATAACTACATGGGCAGCTCTGCATAATAGCGTAGCTTAGACTTAGGCAGTGATCGGCCATCCGGTTCAAATTGCTGGCTCTCGTAACGCATTATATCCTTCAGAATCGTGAAACGCAAAAAGGTTATCATAATTGAAAAAGAGAAGAAGAAAAGTAAATCGAGTGTTCGGGATTACCTCAAACAGGTTTGCCTGTACAGGTTTTTCATCCTTAGCACCAAAAATAATTAAAATAATCCGTCGTTTGTAAAACCGGTCTTACTAAGAGCAAATCCAAACCTAAATACTTTAGGTATATACATTTTCTTGAAAGAGAATTTTCTGCAAAGTTCTGAAACATATCCCGACTAAGAAGAACGGTTACACTTCTTTCTCCTTTATTTATTTATGTCACATACTTGTTGTAAAAATGCAAATTTTGATCGCTCTACCGGAGGATGGCGGAGTGTTCATGTGTGATATGAAAACGCGTGAAGAAAGCTCCAATGGCGGCACAAAATATATATATATATATATTGTTAATCAGTATTAAACTCTTAATCGATTTAAGCGTCTCCGTCTGTCTGTGTAATGTCTGTGCTCCTGATCACAAAAGCGAAAAGTCATCATCTTTAAATGCCTGGAGCTAGTATTGTAGGTATTTAATCTAATCTTCTGTAGGCTTCGTCTTTATTGCGTAAGTCATCTAAATTGTATTTCGCTTAATCTTATTCTGTATTGGCGGTTTAATAGATAAAATAAAAAAAAAGGTTGCATAAATATTGGAAGTGCTTGCACTTAGAATACGAAATAAAGGGAGAACATCTTGCTTTTCAAAGGCAAAAAAAATTGGGTTTTTTTCTCGTTGTTTATTAACAACATCCAATAAGATAAGAAAAATTTTCATGCATACAGGTAAGTATGTCGTATCTGTACAAAAGTCAAAAGAAATTTAACACATCCACACAACAATATAGAATATCAAGCAAGACTTTTGCACTGTTCAGAGCGAAGCTTCAGAGCTTCCATAAAATATACATATGTGGTCAGTCGCAATTACGGAATTGTACTCTTGACTATTTCTTAAACTTTATCAAAATCTTAATTTTTACAATTGTGGCAATTCCACAGCAAGGGACATCGTTCATTAAGAACTGACGTAGATCATCAGTATATCAAAAGTGTAGAGCGAGCATAGGTATATAAAAATCTTTTCATAAAATTAAAAGTACATCCACTTTCTTAAGAATTAAAAATTTAAGTGCCTCCACTTGATCCTCGACGGTACTAATCTTAACAATCATTATAAAAATTTCTAAGCGACGAAATTGAGCGCCGTACGACTTGGAAACGACTTTTCAGACGTCAAGAGTTACTCAAGAGATTAAAAGGAAATTATTTGCACGATATTCTGACTAGCGATAAAATGAGTATGCGCCATGACAATCCCAAGCACGAAAAGAAATGGCGCAAGCCATACAAATTACTAACATTGACTGTAGAGCTAAGAATTCGTAAACTCATTTACTCGATGCGGTGCAATCATCTGAAGGAGGCGCTACCAACAGCAGTTAATGAAATCGTTTGCGATCTTTACATTCCAAAGGGCGTGAGAAGTTAATTTTAACTATAAAATTTAATTTGAAACCTAAATATTGCCAATGAAATAAATCAAATCAAGTCAAAACACCTCGATCACGTATTTCAGACATCTTCTATTCTAAATAGATATACGATAAAAGATGCCAAATTGTACGATACAAAGCGGCTAGCAATACTAGATTTAATCTTGACTTGCAATTTCTTTTTGATCTGCAAAGTCAGTTTATCATATATGAGTGGAAAATATAATGCAGATCTCACTCATTCGATGAGGATACGAATATTGATAATTAGCGCTTGTTTCCATTTCACATGCATACACATGCATATGATGGCAAGATTAATATCCACCAAGTAACTACAATCGTTCCGTCCCGTAGTTGTACGAACTCTGTGAAATATGTCTGTCTGTCTATTCCTGATCAAATCAAAATTCTCAAT